TTGGACTTTTTCATTTATATACATCTTTTCATTAGCTAGTTTCAAAGAATATCGCCTGTATCTCATCGGAAAGTGCTGAATATTTCTAGTTAAATATTTTTGAGAGCAAAGACTTAAACGGGTATTCTAGTATGACCGGTAAAAAAACATCGATTTCTTTTTATTTGATATATCGAAATTATAACTTTTTAAAAATGTGCTCCTAAACGTTTATAATGATGTTTAAAATGTTACAATCTGAATATGTAGTGATATTTTGAACAAATAAGTTAGAGATGCTTTTTTGTCGCGCTGAAATGGTCCGACAGAACCTCAAAACTTTAAACGTATTTGTCTCGTAATTACATTTTACGAATTTATTGCCACAATGCCTCAAAAACTGTCACACTTCGTGTTCAAGTTTTGCATGTGACATTGGTACATGCATAGCTACTGTCGGTACCTCAATCATGCCAAAATTCTTTTTTTTATTTCTATTATCATTTAAAAATGAAAAAGCACGAAAATTCGAAAAATGTACATTCAAAGTGCCGTCAGATTTACAATGTTTAATAAATTTCTCTCTGTTTGATACTTGCGAAAGCTACGTTCATACTATTTGGGAATTAATTGGATTTTCTTGTTGAAAACAAGCAAAACAACTCGAATCGTGACAACCAGCAATCTCCATATTTTTCCTACCTAACTTTGACGTGCACTGTAACAGCCATTTTTAAATATTATGTAACAACAAAATTTGTAATCATTCTTCAAATATACACAAATATTATGGCATAAAGCTTGTGTTAACAACTTTTACCAAAGTTTCATAAATAGTTCGTAAAGGAGCATTAAAAAAAACGCCCGTGATGCTAGACAAGAATACCCAAAGGGGTATTATAGCCTAAAGAGGTGTTATAGCCATATAAATTAACGTCAAAATATAAACAGAAACAACTATCCATAATTTCAATGATCAAATACTAGAGTATAATTGAAAATATACAGGGTGAGGCACTTAAAACCGGCCACCTGAATAATTTGGCTGCTATTGGTGATAGGAAAAAATCCATCAGGCCAAAATTATTTGGTATCGAGGGGCTGATCATTCGATGTTACTAGTTGTTTGATAGGTGGAGGCGTCAAGGAGGTATGAAGGTCATCTTTGTTTTTTTAAATGGAACGGTATATTTTTTTTACTTACCTTCTGATAGAGTATTTCAAGACGAATACAACGACTTATTGGGAAGGTCATTCGTGGTTTGGGTTAAGCCAATTATGATGGAAAATAATTTAATTTGAGGAAATGGTCGAACACTTCCTTGTCGTCTCTGGTTGTTGATATTGCTTCATCTTTGTCTCGTAGTCTCTTGTTATGGGTCGTTGAATGGAAATAAACATTCAATCAGGCTTATTATTATTAAATTATTAAATAAATTATAATAAAATAAATTATTAAATTATTTTCCATTATAATTGGCTTAACCCAGACCACCTTTCCAATAAGTCATTGTATTCGTCCTGAAATACTCTATCAGAATGAAAGTAAAAAAAATATACCGTTTCATTTAAAAAAACCGAGATGACCTTCATACCTATCAAACAACTGGTAACATTAAATGATCATAAAGCCTCTTCATACCAAATAATTTTGACCTGATGCATTTTTTCCTATCACCAATAGCAGCCAAGTTATTCAGGTGGCCGGTTTTAAGTGCCTCACACTGTATACACGAAGATTTAACATTGTAATTTATGCTCGAAATAAAATGCAAATAAATCAAGACTGAGCAGTCTGACAGACCGACTGCAGCACTTAAGGGTGAAATTGCCAAACTTTGTCAGTACATTCTATGAGTATAAATAAGAAAGAAATGTTATACTAACATGGTTCGTTCATCACTTTATTCAAAAATTATGAATAAAAATATTGAATTCAAAGGGAACTAATTATTACTATTGTAGGAGAAAGAGAATTTTATTAGAAACAGTATAATTATTTCTTGACAACTCACAATAAAACAATAACAATATCAAACAACGCACACACTATTTATACACTCGGATGCTCTTGTCTCACTCACACACTTTCTAGAACATTCTTTCATTACCATGCATTAACTTCACATATATTTGGAATATTCTAGATTTATAAAAAACGAACATTATTAACATAAAAATCAATATAGAGAAAATCAATAAAATCTAAAATATTCCAATGCTTTGAACATTCATTCAAAACGCGCTCACACACAGTCGCGTCATTCATCTATTGCACACACATTCATCACTCATCAATGTATCTATTCACACACTCAAATACATCCATTCCCATACTATTGATATTAAAAATAATTGTTATACTTTATGTTAATTTCAAATATTACTTCATAGCACTCTACGGAGAGTTTCAATTAAGCTTTAAAAAAAAACATTCAAACAGCGAGATTTGATGCAGGGAGGAATCAAGAGAACACAGAGGTGTGTTCTATCGGTAGCAACCCTCGCTTCATGGTACAAATACCCCCTCGCTGTACAGCGGAGTATTTGCACCTACATAGGTAGTTGATGAATTTTTGCTACAATTATTCGTACGACATAATTATATCATGTACATCATAATGCGTAAGATCATAATTTCACATTCTCAAATGTTTTCAAATAAGTGATTCAAATACAATAGTAAACTACGCGTGACTTAAAGAACATTGATACAAATTCAAAAGTGAAAAACTAACTTTTCGAATCGCAAAAAGTTAGGATATTATACTTTTAAAAAAATAAATTGATCTAACGAAGGATTAACTTGATTGCGCGCGAAATTCGAATAAACAGATATTTTACATAAAAAAAACCCTGATCCCGAATAGGTTAAGTCAAATCCAATAGCTCACTACATTCTGGATTTAATACCTTTCTGGTCGCGAAAGATTAATTTAACCCTTCTACACTCGAGAGGTGACTCTCAGTCATCGCTTGACTTGATACAGCAAAACTATGAAGTTGAGTATTTAGTATTTGGAATTAAACTTTATATTGCTATGTGAAATATTTAAATATCTTTGTTGCTTAATTTATCTGTGAATTATTGTTAACCCTCTGTAGGCCCATGTAACTTTGAAGTCACATATTAATATAGTGGCATCTTGTTGATTTATTTCATGTTGCACGGCAAAGTGGTGAATAAAATTAAGTAATCAGTTAACTTGAACTTTTATACCCTCAGGCGTGACAGTTCAATGTCATTGCAACTTGAAAGTTACAAAATATAAATGTTTGATGAAATGTTTAATGAAATTATTGAAACTATTGAATACATTGTTAATTCGTATTCATATGTGGATATTTATTAATTTTGTACTGCATAGATTTTGTTATAATCATGAACAAAAGTTCGGCCCATAGAGGGTTAAATCAGTTTCGAACAACGTCGTCTATACCTCGTCGAAAATGTTGAATATTTCCAGTAAAAAAGCTTCGAGTGCAAAGGGTTAATTACGCGCGTGATTCGCATCAACGGATATTATACTTCAAAAAAGCCCTGATCTCGAATAGGTTAAGCCGAATTCAATAGCCCACAACACTCCGGATTTACTACTTTTCTGATCGCGAAGAATTAACTTAATTACGCGCGAAATTCGCATCAAGAGATATTCTACTTAAAAAAAGCCCTGATCTCGGATAGGTTAAGTCGAATTGAATATCCCATGTACGTACACACATTCCAATCGTCAGCCTATAAATAACATGGCAATACATCTGTCCGTTATTCCGTTGCAAATGCCCCACTGCGCGCCAACTGGCCGACCGGCAGTAGGGGAGCCTTCGCAGGGTGAAGGTGTTGGTGATCGGCGGTGGTGGCCGCGGCGCTAACGACGACTAGGTGTGTAGCGATGCGAGGAAAAGGATCAATGATCAGGTTCAATAACCTGAAATCCACTTGACGTCCGACTCGTGCCCATCGGCACGAGTCACTGCGTCGTTTCCAACAACCAAAATAGATATTCATTTTCCAAGAGTGCTATTTTCCCAGCCAGACGCGAATCCGATACCCGGTGATTTAAGTGCTCCGGTCCGGGTCAAAGACCCGACACCGAACACAGTCGTCGTCGTCGCCGCGGCGCGCGGCGCGCGGCACGCTCGAGTCTCTCGCGGATTCTCGCCGGTGACGCTTGCCGGTGACAATGTCTCCGCGGTAATTAAGCTACTTTAACGCGAAACACCTATCCCGCGTCCGAGTTAGGCAGGCCCGCTTGAACGGTACGTAACGGCAGACAGCCGAGACAGACGGCCGGGTGGAATCGGTGACGACGACCGCCCTCGTCGAACAAAGTAAACGGGGGCCGATCGATGCACGCGCCCGTTATATGCGCCCACCTACACACGCCTGCCTCTAGGTAAATACCCGCGGAATCGAAAATTCGACGATACATTCCGAGCGAACGCGGACGGTTCGAACAATGACAAGCGACGGTAGATACCATCGAAGAAAACAAGGGTAACCTAACCCCTCGATCCAGCCGCCAGACAAACGCGCCGATATCGCGGTTTCGCATCTGGCGGACGTGTTTCGGAACTGGGACGCTGCGACAGGGTGAACCGCTCTGAAAGACACCGGCTGAGCCTGAAACTGAGGCAAGCTTCCGAGGTTACATTGGAATTCAACCGTGAGAGGAATGACCGAAGAAAGTTCCAGCGACAGGAACGCCTCAACGGAGGAGACCGAGGACGAGGACGCGACTTGTTGCCATAGGATGACCCTTTGCAGTCCATTGATAAGAGACATCGTCGTCACCAGACCGGTGTCGAAGTATCTAAGATTGAGGTGGTCGACTTTGTTTTCCTTGGCCACCAACGTGGGGATCGTTCTAATCGGTTGGACGGTTTTGTATCTGCTGCTTGGAGACACGATGCTCCCGGGGAATGATGGCTTCGGTTTGTACCTGTTGGCGATGCTCTCCCATTCGCTCGGCTGGACCATGTCCCACGTGCCGTATTTGAATCTGCCGCCGATGTTCGGAATGCTGCTCGCCGGTTTGATCGTTCGAAATTCTGGCCTGTACAACATCTACGAGGATCTCGGCTTAGCTACCATCTCCAAGATTAGGACGTTCTGCTTGACGTTCATTATGATACGCGCCGGATTGCAGCTGTCGATTACTAATTTAAGGAAATACTCGACGTTTCTGATGATCCTGGCGTTCATTCCTAGCACGGTCGAAGTGCTCGTACTGGCTTTGTGCTGTAACACTATGCTGGGGTATCCTTGGAATTGGTCGTTTATGACCGGGTGAGTCGCTGAAACTGGAGGTGTGATTATGGATAAAATTGCTGATAAATGTGGATATTATCGAAACGTTAACGATCTTTCGATATATCGATAATACTGATCGCGCAATCGCTGCTGACGTTGAGGTCTGACTATCAATTAAATTATTTACAAATATCGATAATATCGATACGTTATTGGTGTCTTGACATATCAATAATATCGTTAAGGTATCGTTAACGAATAGCAAAACAATTCAATCGTTTAAGATTATTTGTTTTATTAGTATTTGTAAATATTTCCATTATATTTATACATCGTTTAGTAAATATTTTTTAGTAAGATAATATAGTATATACAAGGCGTTGAAATTTATTTTTTTATGAAGGTAAATTTAGAGTATTAATTTTAATAACTTTTTTAACAATAACAAAAAGAGCTCAATTTCCATTTTCTTTATGATTACCAGATGCTATAACTGCTCCTACTCCTGTTTCAGCATTAGTTCATTCTTCAACTTTAGTAACTGCAGGTGTTTATTTATTAATTCGTTATAATAAAATATTTATTGATTTTAATTTAAATAATAATTTATTAATAATTCTTAAATTAACAATATTTATATCTGGTTTAATAGCAAATTTTGAAGTAAATTTTTAAAAAATTATTGCTTTATCAACTTTAAGTCAATTAGGATTTATATTAAGAATTTTAAGACTTGGACTATTAATTTAGGGTTCTTTCATTTGATTATTCATGTTTTTTTAAATCTATAATATTTATAAGTGCAGATGGTTTTATTCATATAAATTTAAGTATTCAAGATTTACGTTCATATGGAATAATATATTATATAAGTCCTATAAAAAGTTAATTATTAATTTTATCTACTTTAAATTTATGTGGATTTCCTTTTGTTTCTGGATTTTTTCTAAGGATTGAATTTTAGAGGCAATTTATAATTATAAATTAAATTTTTTAAGAATAGTAATTTCATATTTTTCTATTATTTGTGCCCGAAATGACAACAGGTTTTGGTTTGACCGAATTATCTCAAAAAAATATGGGCGATACGAATAAGTATGGTAGACAAAAATTACAGGCTGTGAAATGCTAGATATCACGGCGAGAGGTATTTGACCGTGATGTAACCGTGAAACGTTCTGCAAAGGTCATGTTACAATTCTTAAGTAGAACCATACAGTTTCTACTCCACTTTCTACTCCATTTTTGAAGCTGACACTCAAAAGTTTTTACAACACTAGAAATTAAATTTTTCTAAATTAAATCAAATTATAGTTCGCAATGAGTTCTAATTTAATATTTTTAATTATTTAAATGTGTCGCTATTTCTGTTGTGGTGTCAACAGCGAATTACCGATGTCTTAACGGTATTGTCGTTATATCGTTAAATGAAGGATTTTCTCCATGAAGGGGGCAACTCAATTTTCAACAGATTTTTTGTTAAATGTGTAATTTCACTTTTAAAGATGCGACCTTAATTTAATTATAATTATTATTAATAATTTATATACATTAATATCATATTTATATTATATAAATATATGTTTTGTATTTATTATTATTTATTTATTATTTTGATTTACTTTTATTATTGAAAAATGATTTCATTCCGTAAATTATATTTAATTAAAACAAAAATTTCTGATATTTTCAATAAAGTTAATTTTAATATTAAATTTTAGTATTATAATAAAATATATTTTCACTTTGAATTTAATTTCTTTAGTTAATTTACTACTTTTTTCTACATTTTTCTACATTTTTCTACATTTTTCTACATTTTTCTGCTATTTTCTACTTTTTTCTACTGAGACAAAAACGAGACACTCCAATATTAAAATTGTATTTGCTGGAACAATAAGAAAGATATTGGTTCCTTGATCAGTGTATAAGTTTATTAATACAAATATTAGTTTACCATAAACTTACAGCACACTCGAAGTAGTACTAAAGTTTTAATTGATTTCTGACGATTTACTAAAATTACCTGAAAGTGGAGCTGCCTCGTTCTCGTGGCAACCCTTCCAATATCGACAAGATATCGATAATTTATAGATAATTGATATGTACAGTCCCTGATCAAAAAATTAGAATCATCCATAATTTTCAACATTTTTCGTGGTAATTGAGAATTAGAAGGTTAAAACGTAATTTAATAATAACTTTCATTAACTATCAAGTTAAATACATATATATATTAACCGTTTAAGTGTTAAACAAATTTTGTGGATATATACCAAAAGTGCGGAAGTGCTTGGGTGTGTATAAAAAAAGATTAATAAGAGTAGTTATCTAATTAAATCACAAATATTGTGTTGTTGCAAAAAGAAGTATCAAAAAATAACATTTATTCAAATAAATTTTCTTTGATTTATTTCTTGAAAAACATAGTAATTTCGGTACAATGCAATAAGAGCGCTATGACGCTCCTCAGCACTCAAACGGTTAAATAAATAAATATTAGTTTTGTTTTCCTGCTTTGCTTTTATTATAACATTCACCATTCCCGATATACTGCGTATACATTTGGTGATTATTTCTTTGACTTCGAGTTTTGCAAAATTTCAACAACTTTTGCATTTCAATCCGGCGATGGTGATGCGTGCACGAGAGTTTTCACTAAATTCCAGACATTTCCAATGTGGTTCCCATCTGAAGGATATAAAAATAAATTTTAATCTCTCAATGATAGAATATTACGTAGTAATATGTAATATTACTACTACGCAATTAGTTAATAAAAATTAGTATTAACCCTTAGAATGCCAACGTCGCTGTGAACGACGCTGAAAATTTTTCTAAAATCTTTTTAATTTCTGCAAATAACACGGCCACCAAAAGATGAAAATATTAATCATACGTTGTAAACCTTCTAGCACATTTGTACAAATAGTAAAATGTTTGTAGACATTTTCTGTAAACTAACCATTTCTCGCTAAAATAGCATAATTTTCGAAAGAATTTCAGCAATTACTAATGGCTCTGAAAGAGTTAATTATCTTTTGCTTCCACGATCATCCTCGGAAGACTATGGGTGACCCTGACTTTTTTTATCAAAGACTGCAATTACATATCCAGCTGAAACGCTTATACCGTTCGCGATGCTTTATTCGATCCCTTCTTTCCCTTTCCACGGTTGAGAAGGACGATACTCGCATGCTTGTCGCCGGTGATCACTTTCAACTGCATCATAGCCCTGGCCGAAAGAGGTTATGGCGAGGACAAGGATCTGGCCAGCATCATATGCACCGCTGTCTGCATCGATGGTATTCTGATCGTGGCCCTGTTCGGTCTGTGCTACTCGTTCGTCTTTGGGAATGGTAAACGCATGAGAGAGAAGCTTCACTTAACCAGTTAAGACTAGGTTTACGGGCATTTATTGTTCGCTTCATTCTATTATTCCTAAAAGAATTGATGCTCGTTTATTTAGATTGTAGAAACTGGAGATTTGATAGTAGGTAATTCGGGTACATGTCAGTGTGATCGCATCAATCAAAATCGGCGTAAACATTTACAAAATAATATTTCTAAAATCCAATATGCGTCAATTTGACGCGTTCCGTAAACCTAGTGTTAACGGTTTTTGACGAGTATACTCGTCATGAAAAAATTGTCACTACTTATTACTCATGACGGATATACTCGTCATAACACCAAATTTTGTACTTTTTTCGTGACAAGAGTAGTCGTCAAGAACAGTTAACTGGTTAAGAGGACCTTAGACTTTCTCGGTCGAACATTTTAACAATTTTTGTGGGACTGATGAAGTAATGAAAGAACATTTTTACCAGTCCCTAATTTTTTTGACGTATATTTTAAGTCTTTAAATACAAAAAAAATTTTATATAATTTTATAATTGATATTTTATAGGGTTTGTCTGCAGCCTCATGGAGGTCACTTTAACACTAAAACTACCGAGCATTTAATACGATTGATATGTAATCTCTATAAAAATTGTAACAATAGATTATTTTCAGTTTCCTTGGATATTCATCACAGTACTCAAGTGAAACTATTTATTTCCAAAATCATTTCAGATATTCAATGCTTTTAAGGTATTAATAACTGCGAAACAAACAAATCGAAACCAGTCATTTTGACTGTTACGGTAGTTTTAGTGTTAATAATTTTGATCTGCTGGCGTGCACGATTGCGGCTCACTGGAACGTTTAAAAAAAACAATTATCCTTAGAAAATGTATGACTATGACCCCAGTATAGACTATGATTATTTTTTTTGAGCAAAAATTCACAAAATGATGGACCTTCAAAGTTGGTGGTCTCAAAAATAGTATTTTCTTTGTAAAAGAAACGTTGAAAATTGAGGAAGAAATTAACCAATCCTATTTATTCTAGTCTATACCGGAGCTATTGTTGTGTAAAAGAACATTTTAAAATTTCAGACCCATTGATTAAATGGTTTTTGAATTATCATGCACGTCAGTTACAAAAACGTTTTGAGAAAAACGCGTCTGAAGCTTTGACAAACGAATTTTCACATATAAATCTACTTAGGTTCAATCAGCTATGCTTGCTGCATACAAAATTCCTTCCGACTCCTCATAAGCCTTTTTCTCAAGAGTTCTTTTTTCTTTCGTTAAATTCATTTAATTAATAATTAATAAATTAATTTAACACGGCCAAAAGTGCCGCGTAATCGATTTGACCTGCCTTACACTCGGTGCTATAATCGTCTATAACTTCGAAAGTATTTCGAATTTTCCTCTGAAATTTTCAGAGAATATTATTAAAATATGATACTTTCCAATAGGATACTTTCTAAAAAGTCGATTTTTCCGACCCGAGAATATGTAAGATCCTTTTAACACTTAACACTTAAGCAATCGACTAAAGGGCACTACAACTATAACCTTTTTTATGATATGGACTATTTATGGTCCTGTCGAAGAATTCATTGTATAATTTCTTTAAAATGGAGAAGTCAAACTGTTTGTGTTTGCCACCGAAAAAATCTTGTACCTATAGAGATTAGACACCCCAAGTGCCGTTCTTCGTGGTCAGTTCAATTCCAAGTTCTAAGAGGATAAAATAATGTTTGTTCCTTTAACCCTTTGCACTCTTAGTGTTTTCTACATTTCCTTTTCGATAAGTTTGTATTATTTTAAGTGTTTCGTTTGAAATGTACTTCAAAAGAAATTAGTTAGATTAAATGATAGGAAACATGTCTATTCATTTCACTAATATTATTGAAAATTGTGTAATAACTCAATTTAAAAATGTGTCAATAGAGAAGCACACTTTCGAATAAATCTGATGTCTAGTCACATTTGACACAGGAGTGCAAGAGGTTAATAGTCCATATTGCCATTCGCGTTAGTGTTCTGCAAGTATTCAATGCAGAGCGGTAGTGTGCGAGGAGCATCGAACACACTATTGAAAAAATAGTTCCTTTTAATATGTACATTTTGTGGTTTGCGCATAATTTATTTTTATATGTCATTTACAATTTTATTTTTCAGAGTATTTTATTTATTTATTTTCCACTGATGCAGTCTATTAAAAAATCTCCCAAAATGAAGTCCCAAAATAATTATATTTCTTTAAAGGCTGACAAATCTCTTCATGCTTCTTCAAAAGATCGTAGTCTTATGAGTAAAATTCTGCAATATCTTTGTTTAATATTTGCTTATTACAAAGTTATGCATCTTTCAGCAGAATCTCATTTTTTCATGACTTCACTTCCATTTTTCATTTTCATTGCAAAGTGATGTGAAAATTTGACTCAAGTGTCAATTGTACATAAAAGTAAGGACTACAATAATTATTTCAGAATCTTTTCAGATTTTTACAGAATTCGCAATAATGGTAAATAAGATCTGACCATAAAAAGTCCATATTGCCGAGTTAGTGAAAAAGCATATTGCCGGCGGAGGATTAACTGTAATTGATCTCATTTAACTCATTTTGTCCAAAACTATGTTTTATAAGAGCAAGAGAGGTATTTGACCTATTGCAAATAACCCTAGTTCAAGACTTACTAAATAACAAAAGAAACAGTAAAAAAAATAATAGGCAACGCGTTGCTAAGGACAAGATGGGAGATCTCCCCATTCAATTGGCTAAGTGTTAAGCATTCAGCAATTTCAGGCTTTAAAATACACGAAGTACTAGACCTTTTACGCAATCATTTAACACTAACCATATCGAGAACCGGTCAAATGATCGGATATAAAATTCTGCGTTTTCTTCTGTTCATTTAATTTGATATCAATTTCTATATTGTCCGATTAATTAGTTTTTCCATTTTCATTCTTCCTTTTTTTTCTGTCTCCACTAAAAAAAATGTATCATCTAATTTGTTTATCTCTATTTAATAGCCAGTTATTTGACTAGTTACTAAGTAGGAAAAGTGCCGATACGGTTAGTGTTAACGAAAATTAATTCCGATTTGATTAGAGGTTGAAAACAGTTACGATATCGGTTTCGGTCCTTCAAACGGTTATGGAGAACCCAAATAAAGTCAACTGTTATTAAGTAGGGTAACTACACCTAATATGAAACACCATAATATTTTGGAAAATAAATAGTTTGATGTGTCAGTTACCATGGGGGACTTAGTTGGCAATAGAAAACAATCATATTAATAGTTAGACATCAATTTGAAATCTGTCATTGAATGCGAAGCATTTTGGTAGTGTGTACAATTTTCTGAGAGACGAGTCAAATAGTTAAATTTCTTAATTTAAGGTAAACAATTATATTTTTCCATAATTCATCATTGAACATGTTTGTTTTTGATTATTCAAAAATAATTTGCACAAATTTATTTTTTCCTTAGAATAATTATTATTTTTCTATCGGAACACAATCAATTTGAAATTTGTCATTGAATGCGAAGCATTATTGTGGTTGGTAGTGTGTACAATTTTCTGAGAGACGAGTCAAATAGTTAAATTTCTTAATTTAGGTAGGTTAACAAATCATATTTTTTCATAATTTATCATTGAACATGTTTGTTTTTTGACTATTAAAAAATATATTGCACAAATTTATTTTCTTCTTAGAATAAGTATTATTTTTCTATAGGAACATGTAGGTTCCTAATATGGTGCACGTTCTATATTCGATGCACATTCTTTGTGAACATTACATATTATTGTTACATGTTTATTCTATGGTAAGAGTTATAAAAATAATAATAATGAAGAACAATGTGTCCAGTGCATTGTGTTCACGAAGAATATAGCGGTACCGACATGTTACTCGTATATCCACTGTATGAAAAAGAAGAAAAAATTAACATAATACAAATTCAACAAAGTCGGAAATTCGTTTCTTTAACCTCCTCAATTCTATAAGTATTCATTTATCGCGATAAAAATGAGTTTTGTTTGTAAATTACGTAGGTGTTCCATATTAGGAACCATTTTTTCAAATCGTTGTTTGTAACTTTATTCACATTTTTCACCGTGGTTTGAAGGTATTCTAATTTTTGCACTGATATCGATCAATATATGAATGTTTATTAACACGTTAAGCTCCATGTCAATCACTGTTGATCGTCGCTTCTGAATTACTTGAAAACAATCGTAACATACAAAATAACCGATGTCCAATGAAAATATTTAACAACGCAACTAAGCTGATAATAGTGTAACGCAAGGATTGTAACGCCAAATTAATAATTGTTCCTACTTTTCTTTGCTACAAAATAATAACTCTGTGGAAAAACAATCAAGATTTTCGTGGCGCTTAACATGTTAATATCTTCGTGTTTTAATGTAGGTTTCATTAGAAAAAGAACGCATATCAAACTTTAAAATCAGGTGTTCCATATTAGGTGTCGTTACTTTATACATATCGGTTCTGAGCTATATCGGTTTCGGTTGTCGTTCTTCAGAATCGATATTATATTTGTATCAGTTCTATAACTATTATTTTTCGGTTCTGAAAGAAACGCAGAACCAAAGAATAATAGTTGTAGAACCACTATAAGTTTGGTTCCGAAGAACCGGAAACAGTTATGGCTCCATTTCGATTCTCCATAACTGTGTCAGTCGTAACCGATATACAGAATGTCCCAGAATAAGTGAGAAATATTCTAGAGGTGGCTCGGTACATTAAAACAGTAAAAAAAGTTCAGATAAACATATGACCTATTTGACCTCGTTTCCGAGATACAGCAAATTGAAGTTTTAACCCTTTGCACTCGAGAGACGCCTTTCAGTCGCTATCTGAATCGACGCAGCAAAATTATAAAATTTTAAATTCAATATTAAACCTTGTGTAACGTGTCAACACATAAAACATCGAAATAAAATAGTTCCGTCCCTTAATTTATATGAGATAATTAATTGTGTTAGTTGCGAAAAATATCGTCAATATTTAGTCAGAAAGTAATGAATATTTCTATTTAAGAATATTGTCAAGTGCAATGGGTCAAAGGGTTATACATTTAACAATGTATTTTTTGTTGAACATTTTTTCCGCTACCTCTTATCATTCTCAATATAGTCCACGGGAAAGGAAAATTTGCATTTTATTCAAAGGGTAGTTTCACCCGCTCAAAATGAAACTTGCCACGAAAAAAATTGCAATTTATTAGACTTAACTTACTCTACTTACATACAAACTTCCATGACCTTTTTATTTTCCGAGTTCGATAACTTCTCTTGTAAGCCGCGAAATGATTTAACATGCCAAAATTATAAAGTTTGTTATTTAACATTAACACGTTGAATGACATGGGGGTCACCGGTGACCTCTACTCAAATTCAATTACTCCGATTTCCTTAATGAAGCGATGATCGTTTGGAAACATTGCTATATTGTAAATAACGCTACCTAATGCGGTGGTATTCAGCAAAACAATCCTGCGATAATAACATCGCAATTCAATGAAATAATTTAATATTATTAAAGAAATGCATTAACCCTTTGCACTCGACAATATTTTTCATTACAGACATTCATTATTTTCTGACGAAATATTAACAATATTATTTGCAACTTACATAGAGGAACATCTTACATAAATTATGGGGTAGAATAGTTTTGCTTCTATGTTTCGTGTGTTAATACTTTACTCAATATTTTATCTTGAATTTCACATTTTATAATTTCGCTGCGTTTAATCAAATGACGACTGAGAGTCGCCTCTCGAGTGCGAAGGGTTAAAAAACATTTTCCGAATGAAATCGTGTGTATAAGATTTGTTTAGTAGAATTTGGTGTCGTTTTTGGTATCGTTGGAAATAGCAAAGCCGGATTGTTTTATTATTTGAATTACGTTTGGCTTTTGCTAGTATTAAATTTATCTGTTCATCTTCTGACTGCTTCAAATAATCCTGATTTACGTTAACACATCTTGTTTTTATTGTTTGTAATCGTTGCAGGAACAACATAAAATTTGCAAAAAAAATTCAATTAAAGAAGGATGAAAGAAGTAGAAAAATAGCGAATCGTACCTTTGTGTCTATGGCAGAGAATAATTAAATTCAGTGAACCTTTTTGCTATGAACATTCAGGCAGCGTCTTTGAGATTGACTTGGCATTCTGTTACTTTGTATTACCGATCTATCTCGTTCGGTAGAAACAAATGACAGTGAACGAAACACTGAAACTGCAAGTTCAGAGAAAAATGTGGAGTGTTCAAAAAAGAGGTCATCATAGCGAAAGGGTTAACCCTTTGCACTCGAGAATATTTTTCTTAACAAATATTCATTATTTTCTGATGAAATATCAATGATATGTTTTACAACTAACATAAAGAAATACCTTGCATAAATTAAGTAAGAACCATTTTATTTCGATGTTTCATGTGTTGATGCATTATATAAAAATTTAATATTGAATTCTAAATTTTATCATTTCCATGGGTCAAATCAAATGGCGACTGAAAGGCGCCTCCCGAGTGCAAAGGGTTAATATAGGACGAAAATTGAGTGCTACTATTCATAATCAATCTTCGCATTGATGTGCCATTTTTCATTTTAACACTTATTTAATATATATAATCATTATTTAAACACATCCTGCCGGCCTAGTGAGTGAGTTTGGTTTATATAGTTGTTCCTACTCTCTGTCATTCATTCCGTTCTCGCTACATTCATTCAATTCGGCGCACATTCTATTTCCCTTGCCTTCTCTATCTATCCTTTTCAACCATTCCATTACACATGTGTTTCGCTTATCGTTTAAAATAAATTCTAATGACATCTTTGGTTCTATTTTATCACACGCGTCTACCAAATGTTCTAGTGTCCCCATATATCTACCGCACATTACACATTTTCTTTTTTCTTCTCCCAGTCAGTACTTATTTTCATTATAAAAGTTCTCACACCTCGCCCTCGCTAGCAGTTTCTGCCCGTCCTTGATTCCATCTTTTTTAAGTCTAAAAGTTCATTCAGAATATACGACTAAACTTGGAAAATAATTTTAACTTGAAATTTCAAAGGGTGTCTTTTGACACCTTCGGTAGAAATAGTGTTAAGACCCTAACACGTGGACACTAAACCAGCGGTTTCCAACTCGGGAGTACTATTGCCAGGGGAGGCGCCAAAATTGTTAATAAAAAATTAATGTAGTGGATAGGTATTAGGTACTGTGAATAGGGATAATTAATCGCGACGAGCTAATTAACCCTTTGGCTACGGCAGAATTTTGCGTCAACGCATATTTCTTAGAAAGTGTATTAAAACTATGAAAACACTGAATTGAACTAAATTAAACCAATCGAAAATAATCACATTTATATAATATATGACTAACGGAAGATGTAATTGTTGAATTAAAATTCAGTTACGTCAGATTTAAGCGAACTTTGCTGCAATAGTATTTTCCGGGCGCCTGTAGGCGCCAACAGTACATTGAGGCCAAATTTTTCATGCGCCTTTAGGTGCCAACAGTAGCCAAAGGGTTAAACGTATAAGGTATTTAATATAAAATACATATAAACTAGGATTCACCGCACTACGTGTTACGCTATAAAGTCGTTTGCTATGTCGCCGGAGTCAAACTCGCCCTAGCTCGGTCGCTCTCGCTCTTTATTTTACTTTGCGCGCACGCAAACACACACATTTTCCAAAAGAAACACACACACTCTTCGCTCAATTTCTAAAACTAAAACATTCGCCCAACGCATCGTGTCAAACACTTCAGCAGGAACGCAGTTCCACACCGCACTCACACATTCATACACACAACGCATATAAGCTCGGCCATCCTACATTAATTATAATTATTCTTATTCAAAATGTGTCTATATTATTATATCTATTACAAGATAAGGAGGCGCGGAGAAAAATTTTTTTAGGGAGGCGTAGTAGCATAAAGGTTGGAAACCGCTGCACTAAACATAAGTGTATCCTTCCTGCTTCGAGAACGTGGTTGTGGCTTTGAGCAAAGCTCTGCCTGTTGTCAACCGAAACTACCCTAATCCTGTTGGACAGGCCTGGTTTATACGAAGAACGTACTGGTAGATACAGTTTGTCAAAACTTGAATTCGCTCAATCTCGGAAACAAGGTCAAGTAAGGCATATGTTTACCTGAACCTTTTCTATTGTCTTGGTGTGCTGAAACCACCCCCAAGACATTTCCCACTTATTCTAGGACACCGTACAGTGCGTTACTCGGGTAAGCCAAGCCGGCTAGTGGTTCAAAAGTGAAGATAAAAATAAATACGTGCCGAAACTAGTTCCGCCATTACTGTTGATCTAAGCGTGGACGTTTCCCCTTGTCCCTCTTCACTTTTAAACCACAGGCTGACTTGTCAGTAACGCATTGTAACAGTTTTAAAGCCATATCTAAAGTATATTTACATATTTATTTATTGCTGATTTATATTTATTTATATTAATTAATCTATTACACGATTCATTCACCCTCGCTGCAAAGGCGTATTGTTGTACCTACCCCTGGTCGAGTATTGTAAGACCAGGGGAACATTCTCTTGGAAAATAACAGTTTTAACACTAGAATTACCGAGCATTTGATACGGTTAACATGTAACCCCTATAAAAATCGCAATAGATTATTTTCAGTTCCTTCAGACTCTGATTACAGTATTCAAATGAAACTATTTATTCTCAAGATCATTTCGCATGTGCCACTTTCAAGATACCTATGATAACTGCGAAACAAACGAATCGAAACAAGTCATTTAGACTGGCACGGTAGCTCCAGTGTTAAACAGTTATTTTCCGAACCTCTTCGATTCTTGCTGGCAACTAACGGAAGCTTTCCAGGTGGGGGCAGGATCGAGTTTTGGTTCTACGTACGGGTTGTTCTCAGGGACTTCGTGCTGAGCATCGTAGCGGGAGTTGTCCTGGGAGTGTGCTTCATCTTCTTCCCCCACCGTAGTCACGTTAGTAACCGGACGCACAGGGTTTCTTTAGACCTTTTCCCGTTTCTTTTCTTTTCTGTTTGCTTTTATCGTCCGTCGGCGTTGTCACCTGGCCCCGCAACGAATTAGAAATACGCGACCTGGCACCGCATGATCTGCCTGGTACTAGGATCGCTGATCTGCACCGTGGCCATGACGAACGTGATGAACTCGGGCGGAGGGTATCTCGCGTGCGTCATCCTGTCGTTCACCGCGATCACCGGATGGAGGACCTTGTCCGCTTCTTTCCACGCAAGTGTTCCACTCGACGCTAACCGATGAGTCAAGCGGTTCCGTTTATTCCACGTTAGAACCTCGTTTATCCGAACACGTCGGCTGACGAGTCCGTTCGAATGATAGAGGCTCGCCAACTGTCCCTACTTCCTGATCTTATTTGTTCCGATAAATCAACTCGATCCTTGGTGATCGGATAATAGAATTTCTTGGCGCATTTTGATCCTTTTTTGCTTTTAACGAGTAAAACCTCAGTTACTCTCAGTTATACGAACGCGTACTGTTATATTCTACTCTATTGTTATACTTATTACTATATTATTATAGACGATTTCTCTTCTTTTGTTATTATTATTTTCTCCTTAGATTCTACCTCTGGTTTTTCCTTCATTTCGCTTTATTATTACTGGTTTTATAAGTCTAAGAACTTTCTCACAGTGTTGAATGTTTTTAGGATTTCTGTTATCTGTATAGTGGTATGTATCTACGGATTTAGGTCTATTTCTGTTAGATTTTGTGTGAATGATTTTGAGGCGACATCTGTTGGGAATATGATCAGTGGTATTACGCTAACTTTTCTCGGGTTCCAGATATCTCTCAGTTCTATTGCTGGAGGTCTATATTTTTCTATTTCTCCATTTCTTTTCTGCCTCATATTATTATCATTATGTATGATTATGTCTAACAGGTACGTGATATTAGTTGTTTTATGGATATATGTTAGATCTGATCTATTGTGTGCGGTTTTCCTATCTGTGTGACATCCCACATGTGACATCCCAGTATAGGTAGTTCAACACGTTGAATGCTATGCGGGTCAACGGTGACCCCCAGCCAAATTGAATTACTATAATTCATTCAATAAAACGACTATTGTTTGAAAACATTTCTATATTATACATAATGTTATCTGATACGGCGACATTGAGCTGCATAATGCAATAATAATAGTAATGCAAATCAATCAAATGATTTAATACCATATTTCTTCCATTTTGTATATTTTGCTGTACGAAATCATGCGGCATTCAACGTGTTAATTTCGTTATTTTCTAGCATTGCTTCTGGATGGTATTTATAGTATGGTTGTTTACGGGCTATGAGTTTTTGTTTCGGTACTATTTCTTGATGTATTTTTTTATTTATTATTCTTATTACTGTTGTTGTTGTTGTTGTTGTTGTTGTTGTTGTTGTTGTTGTTGTTGTTGTTGTTGTTGTTGTTACTATTATTACTATTATTCTTATTATCGCCAGCAATCCACAAACATTTTCATTAATATTATATAGAGGCACACCTATATCTAACTATACATATGCATCTGCGTTACCATATACATGTAAACCAGCTGATGGCCTGATATCAAAACTTCTAACTTCCTCACCCTCAACATGAATCTCTCCGGGTCACAAACCTTTGCCATTCCTAGTCTCCAGATTTCCCATTTTCCGAGACCTCCTGATCCAGTAAATTAAGTACCACAGTGCGAACAACTTTCAGTCCGGGCCCACCATTCAGTTTTAAAATAAACGTATTTATCAAAATTCTATAATGTTCTTATTTTTCACCTTGAACCCATCCGATTGTGGAGAATCCTCCTGTGTATTGTGGCGGCATAACATTTTAGTATTAGTGGTCCACAACATAACACGTATACATATATGCATAGAATATGTACTCGTTGGTATAACTGACAGCAGACTCTGCAATAGTTCGGATGATAGAGCTTCAGTTAGAAGAGGTTAGGTATTCACTGGTTCCGATAAACGAGATTCGGATAAGCGGGGTTCTGCCTATTCTCCTTTTCATCCATTCGTCCATCGGAATTTCTAGTCGGAACCTTTCCGAAAAGCAGCGCATTTGCTGTGGTATCTGGTACAACCAATCTTGGTTGGCGTTATCGGAGCCGACATCGATCTGACAGATTGGTCCATAACCAGATTCTACCTCCATAGTTTGTGTATAACTCTAGGATTGACGGTACGTCGTTTCAACTGGTGTTGTAAAAATGATATTTGAGCCTCGAGCTTTGAAAGCTACAACCGCGACTTGAGGTTTCAGAGCTTGAGCGCTTAAGGCTCGAGCCTTATAAGGATAATCTCGAAGACTCGAGCCGTTTGTTACCGTGTTAACACTATTTACATCAAAGGTGTCAAAAGTCACCTTTTGAAATTTTAACTTGAAATTATTTTCATTAAATTATTTTCTCAGTTTAATTATGTTTCCTCAATTGTATTTTGGACATTTCCTACAGTTAATTTCGGCATCATTATTGGAAAAGTTGAACAGTTAATTCAAAATGTACGACTAATGTTGGAACATAATTTTAAGTTAAAAATTCGAAAGGTGTCCTTTGATACCTTCGGTAGAAATAGTGTTAACACTGCAAAGATGGAACCTAGGAAATTTGAAATGCCTTGAATATCAAACATTGAGTTCGAAATGTTCAATGCCATTTTAATGTAGCAACAGACGGCTCGAATCTTCGGCTGGCTTCAAGCAGAAACACTCGAGCGTTGAAGACTCTCAAAGCTCAGTTTGAACTTTCGAAGCTTCAAAATTGAGTCTTAAACATTCAAAAACTTGAGCTTTATTGAACTCCAAGTCTTCAAGACTAAGCCTTTAAGATTAAACCTTGAAATTTCGAAGACTTTAGCTTTACTGAATTCCAAGTCTCCAAGGCTCTTTAAAGTTAAACCTTGAAGCTTCGAAGACTTTTTAGCTTTATTGAGCTCCATGTCTCCAAGACTCAGTCTTTAAGGTTAAACCTTGAAATTTCGAAGACTAGTTTTATTGAACTCAAAGCTTCTAAAACTCAACATTTATGGTCAACCCTTGAAGCTTCGAAGACTCAAGTTTTATTGAACTCCAAGCTTCCAAGACTCTTAGTTTCAACCGTCGACGATTCAATTTGGGAAATAAAAGATGCTTCTCTTTTATTTCGAAACAGGCACGCAGCGTTGCTACTTATTTTACGACGTATTGGACTCCGTTTACGGTAAAGGAACGATTGTTCGTGGTCGTATCTTGGTTGCCGAAGGGCACTCTGCAGGTACTTAATCCAGGCTAAAGGTAGATCGTTCAGCTAATAAATCGAGAACACTACGAGATGAGATTTAACCGTTTATATTTTAAGGCGGCTCTAGGACCTTTGGCGTACGAACACGTGCAAAACAAGCCGGATGTTGAGAAGGTTCAATTGGCTTTGGATGTCGTGAGAATATCCGTGATTACTATCTTGTTCCTGGCGCCAATCGGTGCGTTCGTCATTACTTTCAGCGGGCCGATCCTACTTAACCAGATAAACGTCGAAGAACATCCAATGAACCCTAAATTGAACTATTTGAGGAGGCTCAGTCTTCAACCTCCTCAAGAAAGCCAACGATCAAAGATAATTGTGCCCGAACAAGTCTAAGTTGTACGAATGCACTGAATTTCTTAATAATACTTTGCTTTTAATGGATATGTGTTGTATTTTTGTTTAACACATTCGCTACCAGCGCTTATTCCGGTGACGGTCTCCTCTATTATAATATTTTCTTCGATCTAATAAATCGTCTAAACAAAATATTAGAAAAATGAAACAGAAACGAGTCATTGAGATCCTAAATATAATGTCGTGGTTTATAATTCCTAACAACAATATCTATAGGATTAATTTCATTTTCATTACGTAAAATGTAGGATTACGGCCGTCACAAATATGTGATGCTGGTAACGAACGTATTAATCGAGTGGTGACTGAGAGTCGCTTTCCTAGTGCAAAGGGTTAAACATCAAATTGTAATTGTAATTGTATTATAATTTTTATTATAATTTTATATTTTCAAATTTTTCCGTTAGCCCCTTTGCTTCTAGTGCTGACTATGATGCGCGTTCATTTAACACGTTGACTGCCACGAGAATTTCTAGCGTTTTGAATAGTAATACTTATTCTTTAATAATAAAGGCAAATGATATGGAAAATAATTATAAATAATTGGCGACCAGCGTTATTTCAGTGACAATCTTCATGATTAGAATATTTCATGAAACGCGAGAAATGCAAATAAAATTGTTTAAAAAGTGTTAGGATTTTAAATACATACATATGTGAGAGTAACCTAATTTTCTCTATGCAAGATACAAAATGTTTAGCGTTACAAGTATGTGACGCTGGTCGCAAACGTGTTAATCATTTCTATAGTATACGACATTTAAAGCTCCTAAAATACATACGCGATTATCTTTGATTAACGTTAAAACTACCGAGCAGTTAAATTGACTTTTAGAAATTTCTGTATAGAAACTCCAAGAATGCATTTATTGAGACATTAATTGATTTACAGTTCAGTTTTCGTAATGTCAAATCAATTTCTTTGTCAGAGAAACATCCGTTACTTTTTTAATGATTGCAAACAGAAGAAATCAGGAATGGATTATTTTGACCCATCTGGTAATTTTTAGTGTTAATTCTTCTTTATCAAGTACTGAGACTGTAGACAACTTTCTTTAACAGGTAATAAAGTCTAAATACAATTACATTTTCTTGTCAATAATATATGAATGTTGACTCTGAGTAAGTAGCATGCCTATATAGTAGCCATCAAATATTCTGGATATACTTTTAAATGTATGATAATTTGGTCAGTGTGGTGGTCTACCATGTTTGAATCGATTGTCAATTTTATAAATTGAATGTTCATCGGCAATAACAATTCTTCACTTTAATAAAATACATCATTGAAATCAGACATGATATTAAACAGTTCATTTAATATAAATTATAATTGGTATAATAGCCACTATGATAACACATTAACCATACCAGATTGACTCGTTGCTCTATCTATGGTAAAATGTCTAAGTTGGTAGTCACATAGTAATGTAATCATCTTGTAATAGATGGCAGAATCATCGTTCATGTGTGGCGTGTACCTTTGTTCAATATATTTATTTACAATATGCACTAAATTATTATGTTGAAATATTTTTATTTACCAACTTCTGTGACGGATTGTTTTTAACTAATTATTTACAAAAAGAATGTCACGGATATTAACAAAAGAATTTTAAAATGTGAAGTTGAACAGTTATTAATGAAAAATAGAAATTGACTTTATCTGCAAATAGAAATTGATATTACCGACATATTGGCTACACATGCTGCACTTCCAAACAGACGGTATCCTATACGTACATCAAACGCATATTGTTTGGTTAAGAGCTCCTTTACTAGTTAAACTTGGTAGAACTGATAATTATTAACATGAAAAATTAACTAGAATAATTTAAAAAATAACTATAATTTGTGTACAATTTCTTTTCATGTTTAGTTTTTCCTTCGCACGTCATATTTTGTTTGTCAAAATTTCAGTATTAAGGAAGAAAGTGTTTTGTGAAAAGTGTAAGTTATAGTTACAAATAGCTTTGTCTACCTTAAAGCTATAGAGAAGTATATATTTGTAAAATTGTTACAGAACATAAAAGGTTGATCATCATGAACGTCCATAAAATAATGTCAATAATAAAAGATCCTGATAGCAGGGAACAAGAGGGTAGAGGCGCAATCAGAGTTATAGATCGACCTACGTTTATATTAAAAACAAGGGAAGGCGAAAGCAGAGCTGTTTCGCCAAGTCAACGTAATGGTGCTAACAAGTAAAATTATATATTTTTAAGAAAATTTCACGCATACCTACCTCCTTGTTACAATCAATTTTTTAATTAATTATTTATGTTGCAGGAAAGAGGTTGAATCATCGTCCCATGTTTCAAAGCTTCCAGACCGTATGTCCTTTGTTTTCTTGATGTTTAATTGTTGATTACAAGATATATCTTATTTCTAATTGCACAATAAGTGATTATGTTTTTTAGCTACTCGTACCATATTAACAACATGCATAGAAATGACAACTAGTGTCAAGTTTATGGATGAAAATATGCAACTTTGTGAATACCCTTTAGAATACTTGTATGATCAGCAAGATTTTTTGGTAGTAGGATGTCTAGGAGCTCAAGGAGTTGGCAAATCCACTATAATGTCTCTTTTGACGTCTAGTTACGCGTTAGTATTGTTTTTCATTCCAAACAAATAATCCTTTGCTGTCTATTAGATGTTTGTAACTATAATGAATTTTTTAGGCCCAATATATTTCCAATTCAAGACACGTCACATCATGAAAGTGGTGCAAATTGTACATCTGGCATCGACTTCTTTGTAACAAAAAACCGAGTAATATATCTGGATACTCAACCAATACTCTCTGGATCAACAATAGACTATTCTGTTTCTTACGATCAAAAGAAACCTGCCACTGATTTTGCAAGCATTGAAACCAACTTGGAGCTGCAGTCTTTGCAGTTTACTGCCTTCTTGTTTTCGGTCTGTCATGTTATTATTTTTGTACAAGACTGGATCGTTGATCCAAATCTAGTTAGGCAAGTGTAGCGTCCACAAGGCTTCTAAAACTTTTTCAAGCACACGAACATGTTATCGAACATGCTTGTTGTTTTTTCAAATTCAGATTTTTACAAACTGCAGAAATGTTAAAACCGTCGTCTACGAGTAACATGGATCAAGACTACGTCGAATATTATCCTCACATTGTATTTTTACACAACAAAGCTGAACTACAAGATTTTACTCCAAATGTTGTGGAAAAGATGAAGGTGGAGAACATTAGCTTCTTAAATTTAGATATATTAACATTTGAAAATATTAATGTTAAACCATGACTGTTTCTACATTTGCAGGATTTCTATAGTAAAGTGTTTTCTACTTCAAGATTACAAACTCACAGTGGTTTAGATGCAAGCATTCAGTCAGTGGATGCTAGTTTAAATTTATACTTTGTACCACAAATTGTAAATGAAGGTAAAGCGCAATATTTATATTCTTAAAACATAACGTTTCCTTTATGTATAATTTAAAAAATCTAACATTCGTTGTTTTATAGAAACTCCAATGTATCAAAACGAAAAGAAGTTAATAGAAAGGTTAAAAACAAAAATACATGGTATTAGCAAAAATCCAATGACGCCGAGTCCATTAACTGAAAGAAATTGGTAAGTATAATAACACAAATGTTTCTGCAATAATTCCCAACTTATAAATATTTTTCATGGTTTAGGTACCATTATGTTTCAAGGGTAATGGAGGCAATTAAAAAGAGTCATCTCTCTTCCGAGTACGGCAGATTAATGCCTTAAACTCGTCTCGTTTGAGTAAAATATATATACTACTGAGACTCGTTTTCCTCGAGCACTTCGTGCGCAAAGTAACGATACCCTTACACGCACAAACGGTGTGTAATATGCGCGTAAAAGTATATAATAGATAGAAGTTGGAGGTTATTATAATCACACGATCCAAGAAACGAAAGAAACAAGATGCGTAACATGAAGCTATAATTTCAGGGAAAAATTCTGCTCCAATGAAGTGGATTGTAATATTAACAACCTGGATATTCATGAAAACTTCTATCGTGGTTCAAGAAGATGACAAAGGACAAAAGTAGAAAAACAATGATCTCCTTTTGTTGGAAATAATATACATACATAAGTGACATGTACAAATTTCAATAAATCAGTTGACGAGAAACTAATAACATGAACGGTAGCATTGTTGGGATTTACTGAAACCAAAGGAATATTCGTTTGTCCGTTGCAACTGAAAAATCGGCACTGTGTTAAGATCGATTGCTGCCGCTAGAATGACACAACGCACTTCATTTTTCCGGATACATGTTTAGGAGTAATCTTCTTGCTCGCTGTCAGCCTGCTGCATTGAAGCCATCTGTGCGACTGCCTGTAGCTGTTGCCACTGTTGTTGTTCAGCGACTGCTTGTTCTTCTCGTGCTTTAGCAAACAATTCTTGTTGCTGTCTTAAAAGCTCTTCTTCCGGAATTCCTAAGTTTTCTAACCTAGTGCTCTGACGTCTCCGTTTAGCTGCGACAGCCTTACAGTCTCGCAGAACCGCCTCCGCTTCTGCACTATAGTCTCCGAAACCAAGTTTCTCCAGTGCCTGGAGAACATGCTCAGCGTTTATGGTTTTCTTTTGCTGCTGATTGCAAATTTCATTGGCTTCAGAGGAAAGTAGATGAATGAACTCCGTGCAACAATTCAGTATTAACTCTCGAGACTCGTTGGCCACGCGCACGTGCGGCAAGATCTCTTTGATCATTTTATTAATTGACGCACGGGGTAAGGTCAGCTCGTCATCCTCAGTTGGTGATATAGTGGCCGAGGCCATGTCCTTTCTGTAACATTTAAACGCAACTTCCTTATTTTCTGAATTATTTACCGCTTCATCTTGGGGCATACTTTACTCAACAACTTGCTGACCAGTGAATCTGTTTGCAGGAAACATCTTTCAACTTTAATATACGTACTTCACTCACATATAATATGCTAAAATCATTTAACACGTTGAGTGCCACGAGAAACATCAGCGTTTTACGTACCACTTACACTTTCGTAACAAAGATAAATAGGAATAATTATTAATTATTTGCTACTACAATTCTTACGTTACAATATTATCTAGTTATTTACGTCATTGAATATTTTTATTCGACGTCAGTTGTCTTATGAATTATAATTGTTTTCAAGTTATTTCAAAGCTTCGGTCACGTAAGTTCGTGCCGCAGTATGTTAATACTTCTCACATTACGTTTTGTAATTACAGAGCGACACGAGTTTGAACTGCTTCTGTCTCGTCAGTAGAAGATATTCAACAGCGACAGGTCTTAAAGTTATATTATACAAATTTTATATTTAATAAAATATCATTTTATATGGTAGAAAAATTAACGACACGAACTTATCAAACTATATTGCTTTCAGGCATAAATTAATATAAGTCCAAATACAATGAAATCCACGAACAACTAGGACCAATAGACACAAGTACACTTGTGACCAATCAGCAAGATGTTAAGTACCAAGTTAATAATGCGTGCAAGACTAAAGCGTAAGCAACTACCAATTTGTCTATATGACAATGTGTAAACGATAAGGCACGTTAAAAGCGTTTTAAAACTCAGTGCTCGAGTAAGGCTTTGTTTCTTTTGTGAATAGAGGGGAGAAGGAGCCCTGTTCTCTGCACTATCATGGATAATGCAAAAACCTTCTCGCTTGTTTGAAAGTAACACTTTAAACTATCTTGTAACGCCTTACTTGCGTCTAAATGTTCTGGCGATTGTTGGCCACTTGAACATCTAGAGCTTATCGTGTCTTATCGCATTTTTCCAAGAGATCATCACCTGCTTTTCCCCCCACGATTATTAATCCGATATATTGCGCACAGAAATGTACTTATAATGTCGTGAGAACGTACCGTTCAAGTTATCTACCGCAATCGAATCGGAATTACTATACGCAATATCGTTTCGTTCACACACATCGTAACTTGAAAATGAAATGTTAACGAGAATTCGCTTGCTACGAATATACTGTTGTACGGTTATTGTTTTGCTCAGTTCATGTGGTGGCCAATGCGCGAAAAATGGAGTCGAGTTTGCGGGTGCTGTGCGAAACTTGAGTGCAACCGTGCTGCAAGATGAGAAGTATTCAAACAATGTGTATAAATTCCTTAAATTGAATGTGTCTTGGCTGCCTCCGGATAGTGTTAGACAACCATCGTCCTATAGGTAACGTCCGGGATTCAATATGAAGAATTATGTACTTTAATAACAACATAAGTACAGATAAGTGGCTCAGAATAATAGTAGTCTGACTCCTATCCATGAGTTCTCGAGAGAAAGAGATTGTTTGAAGTGTTGTTGGATTAATTAAATATTAACATTACAATGTTATTAGCACATTGCGTGCGGGCCATTTTGTTCATTTCAATTTATAACACTTACATTCAGTTCATTTATTTATTATTCAACATATTTTCGAGAGTATCCATTGCAAATAGAAATACTTTCAATAATGCTCAAAAGGAATCAACTATCTACTTTTATATAAAAATGTTAATGAAGTTATACAAGTATTTATTTAATACTATTCAATGGTACATGGAAATAGTACTTTTACGTTTTTCGCATACAATGTGTTAATAATATTAATTGCTATTAAATGTTGATATTGATAATTGTAATATTAATATTTAATTAAATGATTATTATATTTATACACGAATTCATTATTTTCATATTATTTAATTAAGTACTGATATCATGATGTTATTAATAATATTAATTGCTATTAATTATTAATATTAATAATTATAATATTAGTATTTAATCAATCCAAAACTTGTTTTATCAAGAACTTAGAAATAGACTATCACTCTAAGCCACTCACATACGCGAGACCGTAAGTTCATTACACTGTTTGCTATAATACGGACGCATATGCGTTCGTTGCAGCATTATAATTACAGATGCTCAAACAGAGAAGAGCTTGACGACTGTTTCGAACATTACTTTACCAGAATGTCCAGAGCTTACGATGATTCACGTGCTAGAAAACGTAATGTACGAGAAGCAACATTACGTGCTGTTACCGGAAAACAGCATGTCAGCTGATGTACCCGATTCGTACATACAATCCAATTGTTCATACAAAGTAAAAGTTATTGCAAATCCAAGAACGAAATATAGCGCAAAACCGGCCGAAGTAAGTTGCATTAGGTTTTCAATAACATCGACATGTGCACTACCGCTCAAAAGCATGTGTATGCTTTCTTCATTTTTATAATGACTTAAAGAAACTTATGAAATCTTCAAAAGAGCTGATTGAATTTCGTATACTTTAGATTGTACTGTATTGAAGAACATATTTGCTATTCATTAAAGATCTTACCAATAATAATAAATAGTTTTGACGTCTTCTTATCTTCATATTAACTGTGTGTTTATAGAATGTCCCACTTCAATGTCGCCACAATTTTTCAGGTAGCTCTGATAATCTAACAAAAAATGTTCTGAATGAAAGTTTTGAGTCAGCTTTCAGTCTGCTACAGATTGTGATATAAATAATGTTCAAATAGTTTTTCTTTAATAAAATATTGTTAGATGATATTAAGACAATAAACTTTGAAATTGACATGGATTATTTAATTTTGATCAAATTGCATATATAAAATAATAACTTTCAATAATAATAATATTAGTCGTACATATATTGTGAAAAGTGCATAAATAATCAGCAAGAATTAACATACTTTGTAAAGAATTGCACTACATTTGCGCATTTAAGTATAATAAGAGCTCAAAATGCTGCATACAGTTTTATAGGTATAATTTCACTAATGTAGTAAATTTGCAGAGCTGTTACAATGTAACTACAATTGACATTACAGAAAATACATTTATATTTCTATATTATGTTTTTTTCAGAATGTACATATACTAATATTTTCATGATTAAAACTTACTATCTTGTACATACAATTTCATTGAAATTAAATAATTTTCAACATTTCTTTGATTAAATCAATATTCCAAGAATTAAAGCCATTTCAAGTTTAGTTCATAGTCATTAAACTCATTTTGATATCGGCTGCAACAATATAAAGTTAAAAATATGTAGTACCATTCAACAAAAGTCGAAATGTTCTAAGGATTTAATTGCAAAAAAAACAACTTTTCGAAATTTTTTATATTACAATTTACAGCCAACAGAAAGTAGATCAATTATTTAAAATTTCTTTAAATTTGATACTGGTAGAATACATTATATGTATGTATGTAACAAATTTTAGCCTTAAAAATCGTTTAATAATAATAATAATGTATGTTTTACATCACAGATTTCATTAATTATGATAAGTATCCATATACTTTAGAGCAACAGTGTGTGTACAAACTACAGGCAGATATTTCATTACACTTGTTTGATATGTGAAAAAAAGAAAAAAAAATCATGTTTAAAATGTGCAGATTCTCTATACCGTTCCAGAATGCATTGGTAATAAATGCAGCTGCGTTAATGCCAAGTCAACACTGCCTACTCCAGCAATAAATGTTACTCAAAGAGAAAACGAGGTGGTTGTAAATTGGAATGTATCTTCCAATATTTCCAATGTTCATTATTATGTAATTAGGTGATGAATGCTTTAAATTATTATAGAGTATACACATCAATGAGAACTAACCACAGAATATAGAAATTGTAAGAAGTAACTATTACAGTATTGGTGTACCTTTGTTCACCACGAAAAAGGGGCTACTAGTTTATAACGAAACAAAAATAAAAAATGTAACTGCAGATACAACTGGTTTTGTATGGAATACAAAATCCAACGGCCATTACGTAGACTTAAAAAATGATTACAAGGTGATAGTTACTGCTGTAAATGACCATGGTTGTTCCGGAGCAGATGGAACTTACATAATACATTCTACATCATCAAACACTACAGAAACCACAGATCAGAGCTCGGTAAGATGTAGTAATGACAGGGACAATTAATAAAAAATTAGTTATGTAAAGATAAACATTTCAAAGGGATTTAAAAATTGATACTTCTACATTTCAGCAGTGGTTGATAATCATTATTATAATGGGAATTTGTTGTATATTCTTTGGTATTTTTAATTACTTTATACTGTTCCACACTAATAGTTACTGTGCGACATATTACAAGAATAATCATCGGTAAATATAAAACAAACATGACAAATCTGATATCATTTGTAAAATAATCTCTGATGCCATCTTGGTTTTTAGAATACACAAGCTTTCCAAATGTAAATCTCGATGGGCAGAAACAATTCTTCAACAGCATAATATTTTATACTTTGTACCAGAGTCTGAGGTAAAGATAAAAGATAAATCATAAGGCTTTTTTGTGAATTATTTTATATTAGCAATAAGGTATGCGGTAAATTAAGTATACAGGATATACTTGTATGTATACATGTATATAAGTAAAACTATCATAGGAGGAACGAAAAGGGGAAGCAGATACATTACAGGTGCCATTTAAAAGTGTGAAACTCATACGTGAATTGGGTAATGGACATTTTGGCAAAGTATATCTTGGTCATTTGGATGATGCTAACAATACTGTGGTTGCTGTAAAAATGTCGCAAAACGTTAACGCTTCCATCGAATTAGAGGTCCGTCAACAATTCTTAGAAGAAATTGAAATAATGAAAAAAGCAGGAACTCATCCCCATTTGGTTAGCCTCGTTGGCTATTGTGTTCAACCGAACAAACCAATATGTATTCTCCTTGAATACATGCAAGGTGGAGATCTCTTAACTTATTTGCATCTTAAACGAAAAAATTATGCAAAGACACACATAACAAAAGCTGAACATAATACTCTTATATACTCATCTAAATCAAGTCCAATTTCAAAATGTAAGTCACCAAGCAATTCATTTTTATATTTATGGCTTACTATATGCAAACCTCAGTTATTTACCAGTCCACTAATTTTTAGCTATGTATATAAATTCGAGTTCTATCATATCCAAACAAGAAAGTGTTATAAGACAACCCATCCTACCAATATATCTAAATGTTTCTAATGACAACTGGGAACAAGAAAAGAGAAACAATAAATATCTACAGGAAAATTGGTTAAACGAAGCGGAATTACATCAATTTTTAAAGTTCGCTACGGAGATTGCCACAGGTATGGAATATTTGGAAAGCAAAAAAATTGTTCATAGAGATTTAGCGGCAAGGAACATTCTCCTTGGGGCAGACTTAACTCTAAAGGTATATTGTTTACTATAGTCTGGATGTTCTATAAACTAACCAGATAGATTAGGTTATATTGACTAAACTTGATGCCATTTAGATCTCTGATTTCGGACTTTCACGCAGTGGTGTATACGTAATAAAACACGACAAAAGTAAAACTCGTCATCTTCCTATAAGGTGGATGTCACCAGAGGCTTTACGTGACCGCTCATTCACCTCGAAAAGCGATGTATGGGCTTTCGGAGTGGTACTCTGGGAAATCGGCACGTTCGGCTCTTTCCCTTACTCGAATGTACAGGATGATCGCTTGTTACGTTACATAGTCAACGAAGGTGGCCGCTTGGAACAACCCGATTATGTTTCCCCTAATATTTATGGTATAATGCGTTCATGCTGGATCACGGAAGCCGAAAGTAGACCCAATTTCACTCAGCTACTTTTAGAACTGCGAAACTTAACGAACACGTTCATCTCCCAACGATCGGCATCTAACCCCTGTTACACTCTGTCACTTTGAAAAAAAAATAAATATCGAAAACAAAAATCATGCGAATGTTTAGTATGCGAGTGCGCCTACACGAAAACAGTGCGAAGCAACGCAATATCGCTTGCTTTAAACAAATTTAAATTTTCACTTACAAATCACTCTTAACGGAAGATGATCGAAATTTTTCAACGTCAAGAATTAATACACTTTCTCTATATTAAAGCTGATTAATTTCCTTTGGCACTGAGAGCATTACGTCTTGTATATACAACATATGAAAACAGTTAAATCATAAACGAGGGACAACATAGGTTTGACATGTTATAAGATTTCGTGTCTAATGCTCTGTACTACCGATCGTGTGAAAGGAACAGTTCTGCTGTATTCTCTCCAACCAGAAACGAGGCATAGGATAGATATACATACAATGTAAAATCTTGTCATACTGTCATGTTGACTTCGGCTGACTATGCATAGCAGCACTATAGGTGGTAGGAAAAAGAATTAAAAACATTGAAACATAAACTTAACCCCTTACCATACCATTTAACCGGGAAAAATTCGGGCCATAATTATAGCAACCGATATCTCACTCGTGCTGTCACCTCAAATTAGATTCGTAATATTTATGTCCGGTTCAAAATTTTAATCACGAGTCAAACTCAATGTAAATAAAACCGAAGAACTAAGGCTACCGGAGAGAATGTGTGTATACAAGAGGTGCGAACTTAGAATTACACTTAAAAACTACGTCAGAAATGTCTCAATCAACCCTTAGTCCCACACCTTTTCCCCAAAACCGCGGTTCGTTATTAGCTGGTATTTTATGTACCCTTGCCTACACTTATTTTTCACTCTAAAGCGAATTTTCTCATTCTTTATGTAACACTAATATTTCTGCATTTGGGCTTTTCCCCTTTTTTCACCTATCTGATCGTCCCTTGAAAAAGGCTCTCTTTCCCATTTCCTGCATAATGACATGTTTATGCATCCGAGATAACTCCCCTGAATTTCCCTCACGGTCCCTCCTGCTCTCCTACTTACCCCTACCCCCGATTTTTCCACCAAAACCTTCTTATAAAAAGAGGACTCAAGCAACACCAAAACAGTCCTTTTACCCTGAAATCGTACCTCAAGACGTCAACAACCCGCAAATCCCAGCACTCACGACGCTCAAACTCCCTATAACATCCAAGATAAATTCAGGTAAAAGGGTACAGATCTCAGGAAATGGATATCCCACTTAAGGGAAAACAGATAATAAATAAAAAAAAACACCAAAACAGTATTCTATCGTCACTCTGCCAGTACTATACACTCCTGTAAGCATTATTGTAACATCTAACCAACATAGAATAAAAGTTTGTTTGAACCAACTTCCCCTTGTATGATTTGACGACACTATCGCTTTTGTTTAGACTAAAGATATATGAAAGTTGGGCATTTTTGCTTTTGCTAGCTTAGCATTAGTAATAATTCAACAGTAACCATTAAAATTAATGTGTGTAAAAATATTTACATATTTGCCTTTGAAATATTGAAAACTTATTTCCGTCATATCATATAGAGTACCATCAATACTTTCTATCGCTTAACACTAAAACTAACAGGCAGGTCAAAATGACGCATTCCTAAGTTCTTCATCGTGCAATTATTAAAAAGATAACAGATGTTTCTCTGAGAAATGATTAAAGAAATTGATTTATCAATACGCGAACTGAATTATAAATCAATTAAAGTCTCGATAGATGCGCTCTTGAAATTTCTATAGAGGAATTTCAAGAAGTCTGTTTAACCCCTTACCTTACAATGTCGTGTCAGACTCGTGGCGAAGATTTCTAACAGTCTTTAACAAATATAAACGTTATTCAGTTTTTCTGAGTTCAAATGAAACATTATTTTTCTTTTTAACAGTCTGTATGGTTTAGAGTAAATCTAGGCATAGAAAGAGCGTGGAATTTTTTATTTCACTAGTACATTATTAACGACAAATAGCTGTAACAAGGGAAACTGCGAAATTAAATCGTAGGGCAAGGGGTTAATTGCTCGATAGGTTTAGTGTTAATCCGTTGCCATACAATAACGAGTGAAACTCGTGATGAAGATTTCTAGATTAACACGTTGATTGTCACGGTGGTCACCGGTGAGTTTCCAAATTGTTTGAAAACAATTATAATAAGAAAATTGATATTTAATCAAAATATTTAGTAACACAAGGAGCTAGATGATGTTGTAGTATGAGTACTGTAATACCAAAACATTAATAATTATTTCAAATACTATTAGCCTTTATTATAAAGGAATAAATCTTACCATAACAAAACGCTCGAAATTCTCGTGGCAATCAACGTGTTAATTTAACAAAAATCAATGTTGTTCGTTGCCCACGAATCGAAACAACGATCTGTTTTGCCCCTTTTAACCCTAATCGGACCATGATGTGACTTTGAGTCATATTTGAACTTTTTATTTAAATTTTTTGATTATTTCATATTGCATTTCCAAAAGTTTCTTTGAGCTTTTAAAATGTAGGCCCTATAAACAAAAACAATAACATTTTAATCATTCCTTTTATTCTCATGAGTGACTGAGAGTCACATCGTGGTATGATTCGTTATAAAAACACGTGGTACGTTTAGGGTTAAAGTAGAATGAAAAATTTTGTTGTTTTCTTCCAAATTGTCGATAGCAAAATTGTTACACGAGCTTAGTAGAGAAAGTAAATACTACGTCAAGGGGTTAAATCTCTCACAGGGTCAACGGGGGTCTCTTGTAGCACCCCCTGTCATCACTCTCAATGATAGCAAGCCATAGTGGAGACCACAAGAGGGGATGTAGACAAAGACGTAGGAATTTCTGAAATTGTAGAATAAAATTTCTCACGGATTGAAACAAAATTTTTTAAAAGCACTCACTAAAGACATCAAGTAAATACTATTGTAATTTCAAGTTTGCCATTCGCGTGTCTTAAGATTTTCTAGCATTTACTGTCCAGTACTAGTAGCAGATTATCTTTAAAAAATCTGGCAGTTGTTTTTTTATTATACTTATTAAGTCGTGTAATATGAAATATTTTTAGAATTTATTCATTCTATACATTCTGAATTTTTAGAAAATGGAATGTATTCATTAAAAATACGTCGGCAGAAGTGTATCGAATCGAATGGAGCATATTTTGATTGAATAAACGTCTTTTAGAACATCAAATAAAGTTTCCTTTTTCCCGCAAAATTCGTTATTTCATATTATACGACCTAATACATAATTTAATGATCAATTGAATTAACCCTTAGCACTTGAGAGGCGATTCTCAGTCGCCATTTGATTGAACGCAATAAAATTATAAAATGTTCAATAAAGTATTAACACATGAAACATAGAAATAAAACAATTCTGCCCCATAATTTATGCAAGATGTTCCTTTATGTAAGTTGCAAATAATATTATTAATATTTCGTCAGAAAATAATGAATGTTTGTAATGAAAAATATTGTCAAGTGCAAAGGGTTAACACTGGAACTACCGACCAATAAAATTGTTTGTTCTACATTATCTTACAAAACTTATAAGAATATATTTATTGAGTCTTCAATTTCCTTATATTCTAGTTTGTATTTATCTAAATCAATTTCTTGAATAATTTCTGAGAAAATCGTCTACGCTTTTCCCATAATTGCCAAAGAAGAGACCCAAAATGGGTTATTTTGAGCCATCTAGTGGTTCTAGTGTTAATACAATTAACGTATTCTTATTATGTACAATATATACGAAATATAAGTGTGAAGAAACAAAATTATAGTATAAATATTTTTATATTCTAGGCAGAAAAATATGCACTACGCATACTGAACTTAACATATTTTTTAAATTCGTAAACGATATTTAAACAATACAGCAGTACGACCTCTGTTATATAGACGTCTGTTATTTAAACGTTCTATTACGTGAATTACGTAATTTTTATTATAATACTAATTGACAATCGTGAAAAGTCTAGCGTAAGAGTGGTGCCTATTCGAAAAAAATTACAATGATTACGTTTAGTCTTCCGACAAAGTTATGTTGTAAAATGTTTTAAATAATAATTAAGAACTGAATAATATAGAAATAAACTTAATAACTTATAAATAATAAAGAAGAAGTTATCTCCTAATAAAATTTGGATCCCATAGGTTTAATTGTTTCAATTTTGTTTTAAAAAAGGGGTACCAATTTTATTTCAGTTTGTCTTAAGTACTAAATCAAATTGACTGTTAAATGGGTATTTTTCTCTCACGTGAAAATTACCTTATCTGATCACTTTCGTCTTACAATTAGTTTATACAATAGAGATTGCAGTACCTTAAGGTAAAGACACCCGTCATTGACCTGGTACCAGTAGTCCACCATTTTTCAGGAAAATGTGAAAAATAAGGTTTTTAAAAGTAATGATCTTTCGAGAAAGGCTCGATAGATATTCTATTTCGACCCAATTCAGATAAAAATTCACCTGAATTGAACTATTTATCGTAAAAACTAACAATTTATTTCATTGGCGTTGGTTGTATGTGTCTGATTTCTAACGTGAAATTAACTTCTGTTCACTTGTAATTGTCCTTTGACTTGTAATTTGCCATAATCGTTGCAAATAAACGATATTAACACTTGGGCGACCGCCTAAAAAGAACTATAACTACAACCTCCTCCATTATCTTCAATTGAACTCATTCAATTAATTCGGTTAGAAACTGTGTTTTGTAAAAACAGGAAACGTATTTGAAGAATTGCAATTAATCCCACTTCAAGACTTACTAAATAACAAAAGAAAAGATAAACAGAATAAAAGGCAACACGTTGCTAAGTGAAAAATGGGAAGTCTCCCCATTCGGCTGGCTAAGCGTTAATCACCTTTAGCGTGTTTGGTTTTACTGTAAGTAGTTAATTGGTAACATATGGTAAATTACTAGTTTCCTCGTTTTCAAGGATGATCAGCTTCTGACGCACGTATTGAATTTTTCAAAATGTCTATAAACTTCGAATAATGTAACTATTTGAAAAAGTTCACTTTGTTACATAATTTAAGAAGTCTAGACAGCATTTCCAATCATAGACTCATTATTCAATAAAGGAGCAAACGTTCACTATTATTCACGCAGAAAATTTTTCTTAACTGGTCAACTATCGGTGCTTTTATCTTATTTTCTTTGCATTCTATGACGGCAATTAAAAATTTTACATTGACGAAGGTCTTGATACGGTACGTGAGAACACGTAGTTCTGTTTCGTCGAAGCATCTGGCCTACGTCAGTGCTTGGAAGTCACCACCTCATATCGCTCACGTTTCACTTGTTCTTACTGCGTTCGTTTGTCCTTCGCCGCGCGACTAAATATGTACAGTCCGTTACTGACGTGAACCAAGTCGACCATTGGCTCAAAAGTGAAGAGGGGTAAGGGGACTCGTCCACACACTACACCTCAGCTCGTGGCTCAGTCAGTAACAAAGACGTGCCGAAACTGATTCCGCCATTATTATCTGGCCGAGCGACGCGAGTGGACATCTTCCCTTGCCTCTCTTCACTTTCAACCCTTTGCACTCGTGAGGTGACTCTCAGTCACCACATGATTTAATGCAGTAAAACTATAAGATTTGATGTTTAACCCTCTGCACTCGGAAGGCGACTCTCAGTCACCACTTGATTAACACTATTCATACCGACACTTCACGTATACCTATTCCTACCACGACGAGTGAAATGACTGGTATTTAGCACAATTTATATTTTTTAATATAGAATGAAGATAATAGCCAATTTGACAGTATAAAAATATAGTTTCTTTTATTCAGAAGTATATAATGTACATTTTATTCGTTTTCACCGCATTTTTTGCAAATAGGCTTCTCGATTGTACATTCTCCACATACGTACTTTTTACATTTTAGACAAATTTTGTTAATCCTACTGTCTTTGCAATATCTTATCTGGTATGTTTTCCGTTCACGTAAACCTGTACTTGTATTTGTGACGGGTGTTGATTGATCTTGTTTGCCTAGCTGTAATTAGTCTTGTTTGCCTTCTTCTGCCAATTGAAATAAAAATTCTTGTTTCGAAATTTCTTCTCCCGTGGTTTCTTTATATAAAACCTCAAAAAGTGTTAAACATTTCTAGTGAGAAACTTCCGAGTGCAAAGGGTTAATATTGAACTGTGTACAATCCATCGGTGTGTGAAGTACTGACGTGTCAAAACTAATTCCGCTACTATCGGGTCGAGCGCCGTGAGCGAACGTCTCCCCTTGCCTCTCTTCACTTTTAACCCTTTGCGGTCGGTGCTGTCACAGTGCCGGCATTTCGAAACTGTCATAGAAGTCGGCGTCGTCAGTGTGAC